CTGTCTGTCTGTCTCTCTCTTTTTCTCTGTGTCTCTCGTCCATCTATCTTCTCTCTATCTCTTTCATCTATCTTCTCTCTCTGTCTCTCTTCTCTCTCTCTTCTTTTTTTCTCTCTCACTTTTTCGCTCATCTCTTTCTGTCTCTCTCTCTCGTTTATCTCTTTTCGCTCTCTTTTTTTCTCTCTCTTTGTCTATATCTTTTCACCAATTTTTTCATCTTTTTCTCTTTCTTTTCTTTCTCTCTCTCATTCATCACTTTTCTCTCTCTGACTGTCTATTTGTCTCTCTCTCTCTCTGTGTCTCTCATTCATCTATCTCTTCTCTCTCTCTCTCTCTCTCTCTCTCTCTTTCTCTCTCTGTGCCTCTCACTTATCTCTCTCTCTAACCACTCATCTCCTCTACCACCTTCACCACTACTGCAAACACCATTTCACTACCACCACTACTACCACGGTCGCCATTTCACCTCTACGACTACCATTACTACTACCATCGCTACCACTCCATTACCACCACTACCACTATTGCCACTACTACTACTACCATTACCTCTCTTTCACCCCTGCTACTCCATATACTCTACTACTACCACAACTTCACCACTAATCTCCTTCACCACCACCACCACCACCATCATCTCTTATCCACCATCTTCACAACTACTGTCGATTCCTTTTCTCTACCACAAAATATTACCTCTCTTCTCTCTCTCACTCATCACTCTTCTCTGCCTGTCAGTCTTTGTCTCTCTCTCGCTCATCACTTTGTCTCTGTCTGTCTCTCTTTCTCTCTCTCTATTTCTCTTCTCTATCTGTCTCTCACTCATCTCTCTCTCACCACCCATCTTCTCTACCACATTCACCACTACTGCAAATGCCATTCCATTATTGCCACTACTACTACTGCAAATGCCACATTGACCACAAAAAATTAACTTTATCTTAATGGAAAATATTATCCCTACTTCTACCAAATAAAAAAAAAATTAATTTTTATTCATTAAAATAGATATGAAACAAATAATAATAATTTTATCTCTCGCTCATCTCTTGTTTCTCTCTCTTTTTCTGTCTCTCTCTCTCAATCTCTTTCTCTCTTTGTATGTTTGTTTCTCTCTCTCTCTCCGTCTCTCTCTCTCACTCATCACTCTTAATAGAAAATATTTTTCATTAAAATATTATCCTTACTTCTACCAAATAAAAAATAATAATAATAATTTTTCATTCATTAAATATTCATTTATGATGAAAATTATTATTATTATTATTATTATTATTATTATTATTATTATTATTATTATTATTATTATTATTATTATTATTATTATTATTATTATTATTATTATTATTATTATTATTATTATTATTATTATTATTATTATTATCTCTCTCTCTCTCTCTCTCTCTCTCTCTCACTCTCTCGTTTCGTTGTTCTTCATATCTGCACCGATCACTCTATGACTCTCGTTGTTCATCTCATCGCACCGTCGATCTACTCACAGGTAAACTCTCTCTCTCTCTCTCTCTCTCTCTCTCTCAATCTCTGTCTCTCTCTTTCTCTCTCGCCCCGATCGTTGTTTTTTTTTTGTTTTATATATATACATATATATATATATATCAGATATCTCTCTGATCTGATCTGTCTCCATCACTCTCTCATCTCATCAGTCTCACTCTCTGGTTTTGCATCTTTGTGTTCCCTTTGCCTAGGGTTTTTGTTCAATTGGATTCTCTCATCTGTAGGTACGATCGTTTCCTAGGTTTTCCAACAGTATATCAGCGTTCGCGAATTAGGTTTATAATAAGTTCTTATAATTTGTATTTTTTGTTTATTGAAAGACTCTTCGCTCTTTGGATTTGTATCCGATAAACTATTTGCTAGATTTTTTTTTATTTTTTTTATTTTTTAAATTTTTTAATGTGTTGTAACCTTGTTTGTCTGAAACTATTGTCTTCTCACAGTTTTCTTTCTGTCTCTCTCAAGAATTCTTGTTTTGTTTAATGTGTTGTAACCAATTTTTTTGTGTTGTTTTGTTTTTTTTCTTTTGGTTTTTTGGTAGCCTGGATTTTTTTTTTTTTGGTATGGGTTATTGTTTATTGTGATGTAAATTTTGCCATTACCAATGAATAAATGTCAATACAAACTACAAAGGAAGAGAGCATTGTTTGCAATTTCAGAGGAGTTAATTGTGAGAGTGTTGTGCCCTTCTGACATGATTGGCCGCGTTATTGGCAAGGGAGGGGGTTCAATCAAAAGTGTGAGACAGGCCAGTGGTGCTCGTGTTGAGGTTGATGATAAGGCTGATCGTTATGAATGTATCATCTCCATCACCTCAACAGAGGTGTAGCTTTCTTTCTGCTTCCTTTTTATTTATATTCTGAGTTCTTTGTCAAGTGCTCAAAAGGTAGCAGGAGGACAGGGAGAAACTGCTTTGCCTCTTGATTTCCTCACTGTTTTTAACTTTGATTGGGGAATTGTGACCTAGATCAAGTTACTACACACACACACACACACACACACACACACACACACACACACACATATATATGTACATTTGGATCATCTCTACGTGCTATCATGGGTTTGTAAAATACCTTTACAATAAAACATGTGTTTATAAATATTTAACACTTGATGGTTGTGTCATGACTTCTTTAACTTGCTGAGGCACGACTTGTGTTTCTTGCAACTCTAGAGTGTTTGATGCAAAATAGCATTATTTTTTTGAAGAATTGTTTTTTACTTCATTTATTGTGCCCCATTTATTTTTATTTTGATGACTGTATGTAATGGCATCTAAATACCATCATTTATCTGTATCCATTTATTTAATGTTGGATCATGTTCTGGGTTGTTGGGTTGGGAAACCTGCTATTGAGGGTATTCTTCATTCCATGTGTCTTGATATTTTTGCACCACTTTTTTTGGCAGTCCATGGATGACATGAAATCCATAGCAGTTGAAGCAGTTTTATTGCTGCAAGGGAAAGATAAATGACGAAGATGATGACACTGTAACTATCCGGCTTCTTGTTCCATCTAAAGTTATTGGTTGTATAATTGGAAAAAGTGGTTCAATCATAAATGAGATGGCTTAGGCATGCTTTCTTCAGGCAGCCTTTATGGATATGGATCTTTATCAGTATGTCAATGTTGTGGCATTTAATTTCTTTGTTATTTCCTTGGTGCTATGGTCATTTGATATTTTTAGATCTTGTTATTCATTTTTTTTTTTCCAGTTACAAGTTTTCTTTGGTACATTTATGGCAATGTGCTTGCTTATTTTTCTATATTGTTTTAATTTTGTTACTTAGGCATTGTTTCCTAAAACTAAAAATTAACTACTGAAAACTTTAAAAGTTGAATTTTTTAATTTGAAAAACTGTTTGGTATCTACTGAAATTTATGTGCTAAATAAATTTATTGTCTGCTCTTTTTCCTGCATTGGTGTTTATGTCAGTATTTTATTATTTAATTTTTTCACTGTTTTGTCCACTTAATTAATTTTTTAACTCCACCCCTGTTCTTGTGGTTCTTATTTGAGTGGTTGTTTCTCTTTTGATAGACGGGAGACAATGGCTATGGATCTTTGTGTTCATACTCGTCAAAGATGTATGGAGGGTTAGTATTATTATGGCCATGAGTTTTTTACTATATTGAAAGACTCTTCAATAACTCTCATTTTGGGCGAAATTAAAGATGGCTGCAGAAAAGAAGGTACGAATGCTTGTGGTGGTCACACTTTATGAACATAATAAATATACTCACAGCGCAGTAATTAATTTTAATGTGTGATCACTGTGTGCATGGAAATTATAAATAGCAATATTTTTTTTTTGCTTTGAAGTTAACTCTCCTTGACAACCACATTTCATTATACTTTTAGTGTGGAACATAAGCATTCTATATGAAATTTGCATTCTTATCTCAGGAGAACTAGCATCTAATTTTTCGATGATACTATTATTGCTTCAATTTTCCGGTTAGAGTTTCCATTTCATATTTTTCATCTCTTTGGAGATATGTTTACTCAAAAAATCGTAATAGCATATTTAATATTCATAATGAATATCAAATAAGACAATCAACCAACATAGCTAAATTATAAAGATTGTTTTCGATGTATGGGTTGATTATTCGTAATGAGAGTGAATAGATACTGCCCATATAGATATAGCATCTATACGAAACACCCTTTTAGTTGGGTCTTTTTTTTTATTTAATTTATCTACATGCCAGGTTATTCTATTTGATATCATGTTAGGTAGTTAGAAAACATTTTCACAAATTGATCCTGTTTAAGGAGGGAAATTTGAGATGGAGGACTGTTGAGACAACTATAAAAGTAGAAATGAAACCATTTTGAGTGGGTGGGTTTTTAACATAATGAAAGAATGCTTGATTTGGGATGATTTGCTCATCTGCATTCAAGACCAATAAATTTGATGGTGGGGATATGGTAGAACTAAGGTGTAACATGAATAAGAAGACAACCGAAAAGGGCATGGGTTGAGAAGTGATAGTGCATTTTGGTCTTTGATTTAGCGGAACATGTCGTCTTGGAAAAAGTACAAACATTAAATGGCACAATGACATATCGTCTTGCAAATTGTGCTACACTTTGTTTCACGTTAATCCCAAACCTAAGTTCAGATCATGCTTGGGCCTGCTCATGGCCTAGCCCTAAGTTAGTTGCCATTTTAGCTTCTGCTATTATTAATATGAGGTTTGTAAAAGTTTTATCTTATTAAGCTAACAAGGGATAGAGATCTGACAGAAGGGATTTTTGGGGATTCATTCATGTGGCAAGCTCATATTCCCCAAAGTTTACTTATAGTGGATGCGAGGTTATTTGATATTGGGCTGGCCTTAGCCAGGTGTCCAAATACAATAATAAAACCCGAGGTTGGGCATGCTCTTAATTGAGGTCTTGTCAGAAAATAGCAAAAGAAAATATTAACACAAAATGGGCATAACAACTAACTTTTGGTGCACATGTTACTGGTGGGTGCAGCAAAGGCAGAACAATTTTGCAAGGCTTTTCGAAGCATTCACAAGAAACTTGTATGCATATTCTACTATCGAAGAATCATAAAATTTGTCCTCCATTAAACGCTATTATTTTACTTTCCTGATTGGATTTTTTTTTATTTGTTATTATTTATCTATATAAAATAATGACTCATGTAGGTGTATGAAGAAATGAGTTTAGATGCTGCCAGGAGTTTTGTGAGCTCACCTAAAAGTTATGGAGAATAGTTTCTTGCCTCCTGAATTTTCTTGTTATTCTGTTTCTGGTGGATGTTTTACTTGGAGAGAGAGAGAGAGAGAGAGAGAGAGATTGTAGTTCAAATTGAAGCAGTTCATGTTGCAAATTTGATTTTGATTTATGTTATTTAAATTTGTGAACAACATTATGTATGTATTATGCGACATTATGCAGTGGTATAATTTTTATTGTTATGAATTTTTATTTATGTATTGTTATGAATGGAACAACATTATGAATATTCATCATGTGTCAACTTTTGTTTATGTATGGATTTATATTATTATGTAATTATCGATTTTTTTTTTAAAATTATTTTTCATTTAATACAGGTTATTTTCATATTTTTAATAATTTTAATACAGGGTTTTTTTTTAAATTTTTTTTTGAGATGGCAGAACACCCCGTCTCAAAAAGAAAATTGAATCAGGCTTTTTGCGACGGTACCTATACTGTCGCAAAAGGTACGGAATTGAATTGAAAAATAAGGCCTTTAGCGACGGTATCATTGCCGTCGACAATAGTCATTAGCGACGGCTCATGTTGCTGTCTCAAATACACTTTTAGTGACGGTAATTTTGCCGTCGCAAAAAACCCTTTTAGCGACGGCAATACTGTGCCGTTGCAAAAAACTCAGATTTTCATCCATTATTGGCGACAGAAATTTTCCGTCGCAAAAACAAAGGCGACGGCACTTGCCATCGCTAAAACCCTTTTGTAACCCCTTTTGTTGCGACCCCCACTTGCCGTCGCAAAAAGCCATTTTACCGTCGCAAAAACCTTTTGAGACGGCGTTTGGGGTATTTGCGACGGCGTTTTGCCGTCGCAAAAAATAATTTTTTTTGTAGTGACATTTGGTAGAATGTAAAATATTTAGATTCTCTAATATTCTATTTAATGTTATATTAATTTATTTAATTATTATTTTAGATTCAAGAAAATTTAAAACTTATTAAATATAATGAAACATCATTAGCAAGACGTTTCATTTGAAATAAAAATGTATTACACAAAACAGTTATGCTACTTGTACAAAAGTCACTCACACGTATAAGAAGGTGGGCTCTCATATGTGGGACCTATTTATGGGCCTCATCGTCTTGTATTTTCTTTGTGAAACATTCTGCATGGTACATTGGCAAATAGTTTCACTCTACATAAAATAAAGGAACAATCACAAAAAAAAAAATTATGGTTTGAATCTTATAACAAAATAAATCTTGAATTTTTAATTTTATTAATCTAAACCATAATTTTTTTATTTGTTTTCACTCTAAACTATTTGCCTATTTTTGTTAAATAAAGTTGATAGAAAAATATTGTTTTAGTCATTAAACTCAATGTAGGTACACATAAAATGTCTAAAATACCCTTTGTCATTAACTTTAATGATTAAAATACTTATTTTTTTAATCAATTTTACTTAACTGAAATAGATAAATGATTTAGATTGAAAACTAATCAAAAGATTATAGTTTAAATTGATAAATTCAAAATTCAAAATTTATTTTATTGTAAGGGATTTTTTTTTTTTGGTTATAATTTCTCCAAAAAAGTGATTAATTACTTTTTTTTTAGTCACCAAGTTGAAATACTTTTTTTTACATTAATATAAATGTTGAGAACAAAATGACACATATTGCATATGTTGATTTTTTCAATTGCATTTACACATTTGCCCTTAAATTCACGGTATCTATATATGGAAGAGGTTGGGAGGACCAAATCGAAACAAATTTTACATATTAAGAATTAAATGGATATAATATTAAAAATTAAAATGACAAAATTTATATATTCTAGGGACTAAAAGGTAATTAACTTTAAAGTAAATGTGTTTGTTAATGCCTTGGTGTAACGCCCCGAAATAATTCAACATGGACTACCCACATTAATGAACATTCACTAAATGATAACACGTCCTTATATCTTCACATATTTAATAAATGAGTTTAATACAAACGTTCCACATGCGGTATACATTCAACGAAACAAAGAACACGTGAATCTATAGCATGTGAAGCATCTATTCTCAAACAATAAAATGCCCTTAAGAGCTTACATCTTCCAAGACAATAGCCCGATTACACAAAATGGCCTCTCGGACCCATACACATTAGCCCTTGGCTTACAAAAAGAATTACAACAAAATAAGAGAGCTATTTACTCTTCTCAAAAATATCCACGCCCTCAGTTTGGCGGGATCACCACATCTTTACCTGCACCAAATCCCATAGGGATGAGCATAAGCTCAGTAGAGGATTCTCACAAAGTATATACAGTTATACAATTCTCAATAAAAATCCAAATGTCCATGTCATGCCATGCTCTTTTAAAGAAAATTCATTTCGTGCTCTTCTTGAAGATTTTCGTTTTTTTCAATACAAGCTTACAATAATAATACATTTCAAATTTTCAAATTTTAATCAATAGGGGCTGTAAATACGACACTGGTAATCCCTAGGCTAGTGTCTGGAAGTAGACTCTACAAGTGCTACCAAATTGTCATTTTTACCAGTATTAACCGGAAGGCTTGACACCTATCCGCGCGATTTTCTGGTCTTTTACCATGGACACTCAGGCCAACTTATTAAGATTAACTACACCTCCTATCCGGACTTACCACGTATTTACCCCATGTCACATTTCCATAGTTCTTATCACAGCATCATTTTCTTTCATGAAATAAATATCTTCAAACGAAATTGCAATGCAAAATAACAATAGAATGAAAATGCAATGCCATGATCTTTCTATATCTCATAACACTTTTCCAATTTCACATGCCTTAACAACAAAGGCAAAACAATTCCATTTCTCGTCTTCTCTCTTTAATGTTGTTTCACACAAATAACCATGTGCCTTCAACACACAACAATGATTTTCCCATCATACACAATTCTAATCAACTTAATCCTTCCAAAGCCACATGTGATATTTTCAACATAAATCTCCATGATTCATGATTCACATAATCTATAGTGCATAACAATTTTGTCATCTCCTTTGAAAGAAAGTTTTCCATTTCAACATACATGTCATATGATGGTCATTTTTCAAAAACACCCATGAAATCTACACTCATCTATTCTTTTTAATGCAAGAAGAATAAAAGTACCAAGGACATTTCCATCTTTCCAAAATCCCCAATTTCTAGGGTTTTCACCAAAAATCCAACATTTGTCCACTTCAAAGTGTAAACCAACCCAAAATCACATTTCATAAGTCAATTAAAAGGAAAGCCCCCTAGGAAGAACAAAGGAGTTGAGATTTAAACCCCTCTTTCAAAACTCCCTTTCTCTCTCTTTTCACTTAGTGCAAAATTAAACCAACACAATAACCTCATGAAAGCTTTAAAATCAACATTTTATGAAGCAAAACATGAATATATGACTCAAGAAATTCCTACCTCAAGGTCTTGATGATGGACAAAATGAAACCCTAGCTTCAATAGGGTATTCTTCAATTTCTCCTATACCAAGAGAAGTCCAAGCTTGATCTTCAAGATTAAGGAGGGATGATGATGTTTTAGATCCAAGGATTTGCAAGGAAATCAAAGTGTTTAAGTGTTTTGGTTAGGGTTTCTAGAGAGAAGGAGGAGAGAAATGAAGTATAGAGTGAGAGAAAAGCCCCACAAATGTGATACAACTTCGGCGAAAAGGGTAAAAAAAACAGAGATCTGGCTGCCTGTCTGTCGCACGTGCGGCGCTCTTCTTCGCACGTGCGGAGCGCCCCCTTCCATACGTGCGGCCTTCCCCGCACGTGCGGGGTTTCTTTCCCGCACCTCTCTCCGCTCGTGCAATTTAGACAGAATGAAGCTCAAGCCTCCCCTGAATTCTGCACGTGCGGCCTCACCCTCTTACACGTGCGGCCCTGGGCCCCCGCATGTGCGGCCTGCCAACCAGTCCAGAAAATTTTCTGGTTCGACTCCCGGCCACTCCGAACCTGACCCAACGCTTTCTGGAACTAGTAAAATCAACACTAAACAAAACAAGAACAAGGACTTAAATTTTTAGAGAAAATTTCTGAACGTTTCAAGTCCAAATGGAAACAAAAGAAGAACAAAACCAAAGGGAAGAGAAGGAAAGAGGAAAGAGAAAAAGAGACCCGGCCGTCACACTTGGTGTATTCATTTATATTGTATTAAATGATAGTTAGTATATGAAAATTATTATATTAAATGTATTTTAATGATGGTAAATCATTGCTTTCATTCTTCGCCTGGTAATTTACATTCGATGTGTGGATAAAATTAAATTAAATAATTTTAGAATAAAATAATCTATTATTTAATTCAAACTTTTTATTCAAGTTAATTAATTTTGAGAGAATTTTTTACCCCGCCACACGTGTGTATTAGATAAGTATTTCTTTTTAAAAATTAATTATTCCAATAATCTCATAATATGTGAATCAAAGAGAGCTTAAAAAAATTAGAGTAAATTATATTTTGCTCCCTTTATGTTTGGTCAGTTTTCCACTTTGGTTCTTAAAGTTTATTTATTTATTTTTTTCAACTTTGACCCTTTATATTTCAAGTTTTTTTTCTTACTTTAATGTTAATTTCTGATAAATATTAGATAGAACATGACACATAGACAGTCACGGAATATACAAATATTTTATTATGTATAACTCATACCTCTAACATAAATTTAAACTCTAACATAATAATATATTTTTATGTTATGTGACAATTATTGTGATATTTTATTTCTAATTTTGAATAAAAATTAGTTTTAAGAGTAAAGTGAAAAAAAAAATTAAATAGCAAGGATCAAAATGGGAAAAAATAAATTTTAAGGGTCAAAGTGAGAAAGTAACTAAACATAAAAGGAACTTGGTGTAATTTATCCAAAAAATTTAAAATATATATATATTTTTTAATTTTTTTAAGAAAATATTACTATTTAATCAATTTTCTTAATATGACAGATTGACAATGGATCTACCACCCTGCCCCACATGAATGGACCCCACTACAGAAATGAGAGAGAGAGAGAGGGGCACATTTATTGATTTTCTTGAAGTAAAATGGTACGTAAATTCACTTTTTAAACTTATTTTTTAGGATTAATGATTTGTAAGTAATATGGTTAGTTAATAATTAAAAAAGATATAAAAGAGAGTATTACTTTAAATATTTTAATTGATTGTTATATCATACTTGAAAAATAAGTCTAATTTTTATATTTGAATAGGAATGCTCTATTTTTTTCTTTTTTGAATAATTATCATAATTTCCAGCCCTATTAAATATGAAGACCATTGTAAAATTTATTGAAAAGATTTGGTAAAATCTAAATGAATAATACTATATGCACCAATTAATCTACTAACTAGTGTATCAATTAATGATGTGACATAATTTAAGAAATTTTTGATATTTTTAAATATGATTAATCAGTATGATCAATAATAATGTCATTAGTACATTAATTGATACTTGTAGCACCAAATCTAAATATAGTAACTTGGTAAAATCTAAATTGTTGACAACTTGTCACATTTAATTTCTATACCATGACAATTAATTAAAATCCAAAACATTGAGACTTCACCAACTACGTGCTTTACCATAAAATTTGTTATTATAATAATGTGAATTGTATTTTTTTTTATTATTATTAGAAAAAGTCTACTTACCATAAAAAATTGTCAAGAAAATTATTATTAAATGTGAAGTGTGGTTGAGAGATTTAATTAAAAATATTATGTGTTCTTTATACAAAACGAATCTAAACTACACATTAATATTTTCAGATAAAATTCTAAATAAAAATTATGAAAATACGTCATGAGATTGCTATTGACAACCTATGATATTTAATTTTTATACCATGACAATTAATTAATATCCAAAACATTGAGATTTCACCAATTACGTGATTCAAAATTGTTATTATAATAATGTGAATTGTATTTTTTCTATTATTATTAGAGAAAGTCTATCTACCATAAAAAATTGTCAAGTAAATTATCATGAAATGTGAAGTGTGGTTGAGAGATTTAATTAAAAATATTATGGGCACTACAAGAATTTACACATTTTGCGACCACTTTTGCCGACAAAAAAAAATTTGGTCGCAAAAAAATGACATTTGGCGACCAAATATTAATTAGTCGCGAATGATCATTATCTTTGGCGACCAAATATTATTGGTCGCAGAAGGTTATATTTTGGCAACCAAAAAATATGTTGGTCGCAGAAAGTGGTATACTTTTGCCGACCAATTACAAATTTGGTTGCGGAAGGTCACATATTTTTTGGCGACCAAAAATTTGGTCGCGAAAAACTTATTTTCAGCAACTAAAAAAAATTAGTCGCCAAATTAGTACTGTTAGCGACTAATATTTTAGTCGCTGTTGATTGAGATTTGGCGACTAAAAAAATTTGTCGGTGAAAGAACTTGTTTTTGCGACTAATTTGATCTTTTGGTCGCCAAAAGTTTGGGGGGAAATTTGAAAGATGGAGGGGGGAAATGAAACTTGCAAGTGTGGAACAGTGAAAGGAACAAGACTTTCGAAGTAACAGATGACTCCCCAAACCTCATTTTCTCTCTCATGTCGAAAACCCTTCTCTCCCGCATTAAACCTCGTCACAACCCCAAACCCAGTTCTTCCCCTTCCTTCTCCTTCAAACCCTTGATCAAGCGACTCGTCAACGAACTCTGTGACATCCTCAAACCCCACCACCACAATCAATGGCAAGACACCCTCGAAACCCACCTCTCCGAAGAAGAAATCGTCCCATCTGACATTGCCCATTTGGTGCTCGACCGTATTCGCGACCCCGAATTGGGTTTGAAGTTCTTTGATTGGGTCACTCAACGCCCATACGGTTGTTCTCTTGATGGGTTTGCTTATTCTTCTCTTCTTAAGCTCTTGGCCAGCTCTAGAGTGTTTTCAGAGATTGAGACTGTGTTGGAGAGTATGAAAGTTGAAGACAAGTTACCGACTCGGGAAGCTTTGGATGCTGTAATTCGAGCGTATTCGGATTCTGGGTTAGTCGATAAAGCCCTTGAAATTTATACTACTGTGCTTAGTACTTCTAATTCTGTTCCAAGTGTTCTTGCTTGCAATTCTTTGCTTAATGCGCTTGTAAAAGAGGGTCGAATTGAAATTGCAAGCCGGGTATATGATGAAATGTTTGAAAGAGTTGAGGATGGTTATATTTGTAAAAAAATATTTGTTTATATTTGTATTATGTTTAAAGCAATTCATGTATTATGTTTATATTTGTTTTCTTCCCTCTTTATACTTACCCTGATAGGTGTGTTCATGTTCCTAGCACTGTGAGAATCAAAATCATTAAGATGTATAAATTCTTGGTTTGCGTGGTTTCACATATGTTTATAGCTGCAATTTACACATTGTCAATTGGTCCATGAGGATGTATAATGCTATATCAGAACTTAGACTAGACAAAAGCATTCTAGTCCCTTGTTGCCTTGCCTTGAATGGCCTGGACTTTCCAGAAGATTTTGTTAAATATTAGGCAATTAAAACTTTATCTACCCTGTTAAAGTTGGTTTCTCAAAGAATT